GAAAAATATTAAGATCAGCTCCCAACATTTTTACGAGAATCAATTATGGGAAAAAGCGTGCCCGTCAATGAATTCGGTCCTATTCAGTTTCATATTGCACGTGCATGCACCACGCACACAGTCTCTAGCACTTACAAGTTCACGGCTGTCCACACATACTCCCAGTTGTGCTTGACATCATCGCAATGTCCTGAATCTGCTTTGCTGTGCTGTTTCCTTCTCCGCCTGGGGCACAGGGCTTGTACTTCATCATTGAGAACTGACTCTGGTTATTGACTTGGAGGCAGTGAGGGAAAAAGTTTTATCCCACAAGGTACCTGCTTTCAGTAAGGCCTTCACTTGGCCTCCAGACCAGGGAAAGCTAATGTCCTGTGCAAAGCAGGGAACTTTGAAGATAAAAAGGCCTTGTATTTATCCACCCATGCATCCCCCGGTGAGTCAGAGGAACTAATTTTTTCCCGTACCTTTAGTTTTGTTTGCGGGTCTGCGCTCTTATAACCAGAGCCTAAGCCTTATTTCCAGTATGTGGTTCTTTGAGGCTGCGGGAAGCCTTAAAGAGCCTCAAAGGCCTCAAAGCCCCAGTTGAGGTCCTCTGGATTTCACAACAATTTCTGTCTTAAATTGGCTGTCAACTGCCCTGAGATTGTCACATCTTTCTATAATTCTGTCAAAAGCCATTCTACTTCATTATTCTGATGTATAGCAAGAATTTCTTAGGGTAGGTACGTGAGCTAGTATCTCCTTCTAAGTAAACTCCACCCTGCATGCTAGGGACTGGTACCACCTCAGTTAAGGACCAGTGATGTGATCACTGTTACTTTCATTCAGGAGGGCAATCCAAATCCTCAAGTCCATTTTGAAGATTTGTATCTTAAAAATACTTCTAACATAAATTGTCACAACCCAGGAAAACAGAGCCTGAGGAAAGGACTCAGGTTGCTAAAACGTTACTTGGGTGGTAAAAGCCCAGAGAAGAAGAAAGGAAGGAAAAAGAAAGTGAGGCCAAAGAACATGTTCTCCAATAGGATGGGAACTGCTTCACATGGATCCACGGACGACACAGGCCATAGGATGCTCATTCAGCACTTGGGAATTCTCCAGAAGAGTTACAAGGACGAATCTCATATTGGGGAAGAGAATAGAGGGGAAATTTATCTACTTGGTTCCTTTCTGTCTCCCATTTCCTGTTAAGTTTTCCCTTTTTAAGAGGTAATGCCCGTCAGACCCAAACAAAAACCCAAACCTCATACCCTAAGGAGGGATACTTCCCCTTGCCCCCAATTTCAGAAGTCTGGCAGGTGAAATGACAACCAAGAAAGAGGGAGAACAGAAAGCATTTGTGGGAGTCTGAGAAAGTCAATGAAGGTTTTGTTTCCCAAGGGTCCACAGATTCCACTCATTTCAGTCCACTCAGGCACCAGCCCCCCTCGTTAAAAGTCCCAGCAAGCAATGTGGGGCATCCACTTCATCCATGAAAAAAAATAGGTTCAACACAGAGACACCATTCATGCCCATAGGACCTTACAATTCAGTTGAAGAGGAAGGGGATACCAGAATTAAGAAGGCTTGTGGCTTTAGGTAGAATATAAGAGTGTAGGTGTAGAATAAAGGGGTATAGAGAAGTTGGAGTTGCTTTGTTAAAGAAAATTCTCTGAAAGATTGGATATGTTTGGTCTACATTTCTTTTAAAGTCAAACTTAGAATCACAGCTTCTGTCTCTTGTAGGTCTGATCCCTCGATCCCTCATACTATGTATATGGCCCAATGCTCTGTCACATTGCATGGATGTGACCAATTACAGCCAGCTAGTTAACTCAGCAGAATCCAGAAGACACGTGATTGACGCATCTTCAAGTTACTTGAAGGTTAACATAGCTGGATAGATCTAACTCACTTGTTTTTGATCATCTCAATAATTTAGCTACCATGAACTGTTTCCACGGCCTTTTTTTGTTTAAACATTTATTTATTTTCAAGAGACACAGAGCGTGAGTGGGGAAGGGGCAAAGGGAGAGGGAGACACAGCATCTGAAGCAGGCTCCAGGCTCTGAGCTGTCAGCACAGAGCCCGACGTGGGGCTTGAACCCACGAACTGTGAGATCATGACCTGAGCCAAAATTGGCCGCTTAACCGACTGAGCCACCCAGGGGCCCCAACTGTTTTAACAGTCTTAAGGACAGTCATAGGTATCAACGAGTGCAGTTATTTGTAGAGAATTTTTAAGAATAAAAACTTGAAGAAAAATAGATAGGCAATTGACGGAAATGCTCATGCCAGGAAAGGCATTATCTTCACCAGTTATGGAACTGGAATATTTAATTCCCACTTTTAATCCAGGAGCAATTAGCATGGAACGCCATTTATCGATTTGAATTTATATTAAAGTGTCATAATACTATTAATAGACAAATTGCTTTCCAAATGGATCAAGCACACAAAGACAATTGCTTTCGAAAAGCAGCTGCATAACGAATGAGGCAAAGTTTCTTTCTCATGCTACTTCTTTAAAATCTTCTCAACAAAATGGGCTTTATTAACGTTTTGAATGTACAATATTTGAAAATGACAACCAACCAGACCAAGATGAAAAGCAAATGCTAATGAAAGACATGTATATATTATGAAAACAACTGTAACACTTTAAAATCTTTTTTTTTTTTTTTTTTTTTAGAATAGGCTCTGTGCTGTGGAGGTGGGGCTTGAACTCATGACCCCCCGGATCATGACCTAAGCTGAGATCAAGAGTTGGATGCTTAACTGACTGAGCCACCCAGGTGCCCCTAAAATCATTTTGAATACTAAACGTTGTAGGCTTCAGTTTTACAGAATGACTCTACACACACACACACACACACACACACACACACACACACACCCTTTCCCCTATAAATGTAAATCAGGAATCTTGACTGTGCTTAATAAGGGTAACTCATCAAGGGACATGCTTTCTCGGGGTTAGTTAAGAGGTAATTCCCTTTTTACAAAACCAACTAATGTCAATAGAGAAACATCACATACCAAACTAACACTATGGGAGTTAAATATGTCCCCAAAGATTACATTTGTGTTTTCTACATGGCAACTACATGCCAATGAGGCTAAAACAAGTAATGCCCACGACACGTGGTATTAAGGTGCCACTCTGTTATCTAAGCTCTTTTTTGCCTCAACTGATTTTCAAATAGCTCTTGGTCTCACTTTTGCCACCCTTGTATGATAATGACTTAAGTACTAATTTGGGACAATTTAGTTAATGGAAATATCTGGGTCTTCTCTCAGAGGTATGCTTTTAAGCCTTACTTATATTTAATTAGTATAAATCTTCATTGGTGGCTTATACATGCAGGATATTTTCAGCCCCTTCCATTTTCTGTTCTCTGCGATGAGATTTTCCAATCCTGATGACCCTCCCACAATGGTTTAAAAACTTTTATTTCTATATTTTAATCAAGCTTGTTGTCATTGAAAACAACTGAATGACAAAGCCTCCCAACAAATTCATCCAGAGTGTGGGTTTTTAACCACATTTAGTTTAAATTTTGGCAGTCTGGGGAAGTCTGCGGGCTTCGTTTCAGAATACTGATAGAGAGGTATCCCAGTATTTGATCTACATGTATGTTTACTGCATTAAATAACAAGTTTTATGGCAGTCTAATAACTACTGTAATTTCTAGTCATGAATATAAACTATTTTGAGAGCTGTATGACACCATAATGTGACATGAAAATATCTGATTTCGATTGGCGCGAATCACAGGTACTATTAACACTGCTATAGTTAGTTGTCAACAACCCGAACTAATGGAAAGGCTATGTGATTTCCATGAAGTCAGTTCCGATCCAGTTTTCTTCATCATATCCTTCCATACACTGCGAGAGCTCCATCAACAGTCCCCTGAAACGAAGGGCCTTTCCACCGCATTTTCTTTTCTTTTTTTTTTTTTCAACATTTATTTATTTTTGGGACAGAGAGAGACAGAGCATGAATGGGGGAGGGGCAGAGAGAGAGGGAGACACAGAATCGGAAACAGGCTCCAGGCTCTGAGCCATCAGCCCAGAGCCCGACGCGGGGCTCGAACTCACGGACCGCGAGATCGTGACCTGGCTGAAGTCGGACGCTTAACCGACTGCGCCACCCAGGCGCCCCACCACCGCATTTTCTAAAGAATAAAAGACCTTCCATCTCCCCTATGTTCGCGTGTGCATGTTCAAAAAGTCCCGATCTCAAGTGGCGAAGTCCTGAGGAAGAATGTGTATGATAAAATGCCTTCTGTTTACGCAGACTCTAGTCCACACGGCACCGAGAGGAGGGGATAAATACCATTCGTGGAGCATTTTCAGAAATGCAATGCTTTGACCACAAAAATCAATATATCCTTCCATATTAATGTAGGTGTAACCACTCAATTACAGGTGTACCTATTATCATGTAAGTTTTAGTGCAAGTCGAATGGACAGTGTTAGTTGTCTTTTAAAATCAACATTATCTTTACAGTCCCAATTTTCTAGTTTTCCCTACGTACATATATCATCAAAATAATTTAATCAAAAAAAAAATAACCAGGCAGTGCAAGCGAGTTCATCAGTGTTACCCAGCTTTGAATCATTGAGCTGTATTTCGTTTGAACACACATTCATCAAATTGGCTCCGTATGTCAACTCAGGGAGCATTAACTTTAACTTCCGCGTGGACAGGGGATCCTATAAAACCATCGCTGACAAGGTAGTTTCACAGATTTTTTAATGGGAAACTGAAAATCTGATTTAAATGCATACCGGAGAAGCTTAGTTTTATTGAACGCGTGGGACACACAGCACATCCCCTTCAGCCCAACATCAGACGCAAGTAAAAGCAAAGAGAGAGTTCTAGATGTTCTGGAAGCTCATGATTATTCATAATTCTTTTAATTCCATGAAATACACAGTTTTGAGTAAAACAAGCTTTCATAAGCAGCCTGTTAAATCTTAAAGATCATGTGCACGTGTGTGCGGTGCGCGTATTCAGACGTGTGCTCGTGTGTGTGTGCACGGGAGCGCCCACACAGAGTCTAGATGTGCAGGCTGGGGTTTAACTGAGTGCAGATGTTGGTCAACTAATGAATACACGTGTGAGTAGATGTGTTTCTGTGAGCACGGGGAGGCACTTGTAGGGGACACGGAGGCACGTGGGAAGGGTGTTCCAAGAGGGACCTGTGAGGAATGTGGGTGAAGATTTGGGGACTCAGGAGGGACACGTGTATGCGGACTGGGAACATCAGGTGCGGGGAGACTGTAAGGAGTACAAGGATTTGGGAACACGGACGGACACAGGGGGAAGGTGGGAGTCCTGAACAGGGACATGCTTTGTTTGGATGCGGGTACAGGTGGGTGCTGGGATTCAGGGCTCCCCTAGCCTCAGCAGTGATTAGTCAATTCCCATGGAGACGGATTCCAGGCATAAATGCAGAGGCGGCTGTCAGGGGAGAGACTGGGACGCAGGGGGAGTTCTTAAGAGCTTCAACAGCTTCAGAGGCTCATCTGGGGCTCACGTGGCCCCTCACCCTTAATTCACGTCCCTTGTTTTAGCACCAGCACTAATAGCCCTTCCTCTGTTTAAAACGATGAAATCCTAGAGGCGCCTGGTTGGCTCAACTTGGTTAAGCGTCCACGTAGGCTCAGGACATGATCTCCCAGTTTGTGTGTTCTGCTGTCTGTTGTGGGCAGATAGCTCAGAGCCTGGAGCCTGCTTGAGTTCTGTGTCTCCTTCTCTCTGCCCCTCCCTCTCCCCCTCCCTCTCTCTCTCAAAATAAACATTAAAAAAAAATTAAAACCATGGAATCCTCAAGGTGAGGGTGACTGTGAAGGTAATTGACTTCTGCTCCTCAGATGGGCAGTCGAATAGATCAAGTTCAGGGAGGTTTTACTTTGTTCCCCAGACACAGTCGATACTTATGTTCTAACTGCATGGTCTTGGTCAGGAACCACTGACAACTGTGCCTTCATGGGAATAAAAATAACTGTATCCCAGAGAAAAAAACTCGAACATAACCTGCCCTGGGAACAAGTGGAAGAAACAGGAGCTGAATAAACCTAAACTCTGATAGGGTCATGCTGCATGGGAGACATAGCCATGGGCTGTGGATAAATAGGGCTCCGTGGGGTTTTCAAGGTTGAGAATTAAATCAAGCATATCAGCTCTTTTGACTCTAATTCCTTGCATTTCTCTGCCTTCCCTATTTTTTTTGAACTCTTGAATCTTGACTTCTCACCCTAAATTGTTAGTCTGGATAATATTTGATCCTGTAGGTGGCAAGCCAAACTCCAAGCAATCACAGCACAATTGCCCTCAATACAATGCAATTTTAGAGTCAAAAAAGATTTTTCCATTTTTAATTTTATGTTTTTAAACATTTATAAGAAACTCTTATCAGGCAGCTGTGTCCTTAAAACGCACAGAAGAAAACACCCCAGACTCAAACCTCAGACCTCTTCTCTTTCCTATTGACCCTAATTCCTGGGTCATCCAGGATCATGACTTCAAGTATCATCCCCTAATTCAGGACAACCAATCTTCTATGTAGCTCCAGATTCTCTCTCAACTCCAGATTCAGAGATCCTTAAACTTGCTCATTGATATTTCCAAACTGGAGGTCCAACTGGCATCTCCAACCCTGGCTTTGCATATCCAAAGGGAACAAAAAAGCAACTTGAATGAACAGACATACACTTCTCTCTCTTCTGTTACTCAAGCAACTATATTTTGGCCTTCTGGAAATACTAGATGCACACACTAAGACAGACAGACACACACACACACACACACACACACACACACACACACACACAAACTCTGATGGGAGCTTCTAAAATGATTCCCCAAAATCCCATCTTCTGCTCCTCAAAACCTCTTGGAATCCCCCAACACGACCCCCTTGCTTCTAACGAATAGAATACCTCAACTTTGACAGTGTGCCACTTCTGTGACTGGGTACAAAGACTTAGGTTTTTCTAGCAAACTCTGCCTCTTGCAAGCCTTGATGCTCAATGAAAGAAAAGCCACAGGGCAAGTAATGGCCAGTGATCTGCAGCCAACACTGAGGAAGTGAAGCCCTCTGCCCAACAGTCTTTAAGAAGAGGAATTCTGTCAAGAGTTGGGAAAATGAACTAGGAAGGAGATCCTTCCCCAGTTGAGCCATCAAGTGAGACCTCACCTCTGGTCAGCATCTTGACGGCAGCCTTATGAGCAACCTCGAAGCAGAGAAGCTGGCAGGGAAAGGACTTTCTGCTGTATGTGTTCACTACCACATCTCTGCTTCCTCAAACAGGACTGGCATGGGTTCAGAGATCAATACCTTTTTGTTCAGCCAATGAATGAAGTATTCCTCCCCTGCTAACACAATCAGGAGCAAAGAGAGTCTGGAGGGCTTCCCTGGAGGACACTTTGTCTCTTTTGGATAAGGTCCCTTCCTAAGTGACTTCACATTATTTAACTTGAAACCAAGGATGGACTTTCTTCTTAAGTATGAATCTACCGAAGGATGAACCGAAATTTCTTTCTTTAGCCTAACCTCTCATTAATAGATGAAATAGAGACAAAGATATCAATTTAAAACACCATTTTTTTAGAAGCTAATTAGATCTGGGGGGAAAATCAGGTATAATCAACTTCCAGCCCCAAGTCAAATAAAGTCATGGGATCCCACCACTGAGCATGGCCTTCTTGCAAACAAGAGCTTCAAGACTGTCACTATTCTACAGCTGCAAATTTTTTTCTACTTTCAAGATTAGCCACTGAGCTAATAGATGGCTTCAAGACTCGAAACAGGTTGGAAGCACCCATCATTCTTTTTCCTCAGTATCTCTCATCGAGGCCCATACTTTCCACTTCAAGATCTTAATTTAGGCATCAATCTCACTGCTTCAGACCTTCCTTAATATCTTCGTTGTTATAGGCATTTATCTACATCCTATCCATATCCATGTAATTCGAGCTGACGTTCTCCTAAGATGGTCTCTGTCCCAAGTAGCTAAGTCATTCTATAGGAAAAAGAAACATGTGACTTTTGGTAAAACACAGTAATTTCTCCAAAATAAAAGTTAGATTGGCAAAGGAGACATTTTGTCAAGAGAAACAGCAACTAAACCAGAGAGGTAGTGACCCGCCCAAGGACCCAATTTAAGTGATGATCTTCCGTCTTCCGCAGCCTTCTACTTCCTTGGATCATGCGGCCATGACCACACCATCCTTTATCCTTGTGCACAGCATGACCAGTGTCAGGAAATAGCGGTACAAATAATTACAGCCATCAAGGACACTTACAAGTTGTTGGACATTTTTCTTGGTACTAAAATGCAACTTGCGGACCAAAAGACTTGAAAAGCCACTGAATCAAAGGTCTTAGAAGCTCATTTATTTTCCATTTCCTTTGGGGGTCCTAAGTGTGTTGCTGGTGTGCATTTTGAGAAAAGCAACGATGATGCTCACTTTCTTCTATTTTTGCACTTTAAGCCCAAAAGGCAGCTTTTTATGCGGCCCCTTCCTTCAAAACCCCCACCCTCTCAGATGTGGATGCAATTTCTTGGTTTTTATATATGGCTTCATCTTCCCTGCTTCCAGCATGGTGCCTGCGAACACATTGAAATCCTAGTTACATACCACATGTGGTAACTAGGAGACGCCAGGCTACAGAGGTTTTAGCCCCGCCATTGTTGTCTGGGATTACACCATCAATGCCAGACCATCTGTCAGGGAAGGGCTGCCAGGAGTGGATATTTATCTGGCTTCGCTGTCAATTTAAGAGGACTTAGCAAGTTGGCCACCTGCCAGCAGCTACACAACCAACCTTCAGAGAGATGCCTGCTGAGAAACTGACTGAGATTGTACAATTCTAATCTCCCTTTTCATTTATCCAATTTCTCCACCTCTGCACGGAACGAAAGGGGAATTGACTCAACACCCCACCCCGGCCCACGGCCCCTCCACATTCGCCGGTGATGCTCTCTCTTCCTTTCCATCACATTCTTTCTGTCAAAATCCCATCCGCCCTTCAGGATCTAGTGGAAATTGCAGCCACAGGTGGCATCGCGGTATCGCTCCTACCTTTTGCGTCGTTATTGCTGGATGCCTAATAGACTGTGCCCAGCAACATAGCCAGGAATGCACAAGTCTGACTCACGAAGCCACCAAGTGTCCAGCTCATGATATTCATTAAGTAATTCTTGCAATAAATTGGGATGGAGAGGCAAATCTCTAACCAAATTTAGGATTAGCAGAAATCCTTGTGAGGACCGTTTATTGAGATTTTCCGATGAGGCTAACCACTGAAGATGGAAGACAAGTCAGACACAGGAGATTACAACAGAGTCAGTCCCCTTTCAGCGCAGCAGGTGTATTTCCATCAAGCAATAAAAGAAAGGGTAGCAAAACTTCCAAAGAAGTGATTTGAACTAAGATCTACATATGGAAAAAATGAATTGGCCATTTTTCCCTCTCTTACAAACACAAATAGAGAAAAAAAAAGTAAATTTAAATAAAAGCCTCACAAAATGGTCCTGTTTTAATTTACTCTGACGGGAAGAGAATGAGTTAGTTTATTTCTCTCTGGGATGTTCCTGCCACCTTTGGTTGCGAAATATAGCTAGAAACTTGGCAGATTGTTTTTGGCAAAAGAAAAAAATTTGGAAGGAAAAGGGGAAGACTAGAGAGACCAGATATATTTTCTTTTCTTTTCTTTTATTGTCTTAGGAGAACAGCTTTCCGGATGTCCCTGAAGCACAATTATTTCAACTGAAAACCTGGAGCTTCTCTCTGGGGTTAGGTTAATGACTTTGAAGAAGAATATGACAGGAGGCAGATCAGTCAGGAGAGGTCAAGAGCTGTCAGGAATTGTGATGGCCGCTGTGGAGTCCAACTGGCTTGTAGTCTCAGTGCTCAGACTGACTCCATGCAATAAAGCCAGTGTGGTCAGCCTAGTCTGTCATCCACAGGACTCCACAGGGGACAGCATATGTGGCTGGTGACAACACCGGTGCCATGTGCATATAATGGGGAAGAGCCCCTTAGAACACGGGATCTCATACTTGGCTGTATACAGGAATCTCATAGGGAGTTAAAAAAAAAATGCGTAGGTCCAACCCTAAGGATTCTGATGTCTGGAGTCCAGTCTCATCTTTGGAATTTTTTAAAACCCCTCAAAATTTGAGAATCACTGCCATAGACGATAAAAGAATTCAAGACCCAGTAGTAGGGGCAGTTGGCCAAAAAAGATCCTGAAAACAGACACAAAACACAGCACACTTCAGGCACCCCAGGACATCAAATTTACGTGGAAAACTGAGAAACAAGAACATACAGTTGGTAAAGAATCAGCTGTAGAGGAGTCAGAGGACTTTCAAAACAAGGGAATAATGCCACACAGAGCGATGGTCAAGCTTGGAGAAAGTACAGAGGACCTGTGGCCAAGAGTTAAGGACCAGGATGGGACTTGCCCAGGAATGAGCAAAGATGTAAGAAAGGACCACAGTGAAAGGTGCTGGTAGAACAGAACTCCTTCCTCACTGGCAGGAACACAGGGTCACCTTTTCATCAGACTTGACGAGTATAAACGTGCTTACTGAGGCTCATCAGCAAATATATCCACCTATCACCGATCATCAATTACTAACGTCAATAGTCTTAGCTAATGACCTGTTCACTTATAAAGTCTTAAATAATTCTTTTAGCTATGTTAAGCCAAATATACTAGAGTCTTCCATGCAGCCAACCTCTGGAAGGTCACAAAACAAAATCCATTTGAGGACTCTTACACCAGTCACACCCAGACGAGAAAAATTATACAAATGGCAGGGATTTCTGCCACAGTGCAGACCACAGGGACAAAAGTCACTTCATGTTAAGACACAGTGCTGGTTGTTTCACTCTAGAAAAAGGCTTCTTTAAAATCTGTATTTTTACCTAGGAATTTTTAGGTTTCAAACCTTTCACCTAAGAAAAGGAACATTTATAAAGATGTCCAGTAACGATCCACATGATGTTGTGACCACAATCGGGAGGGGGCGGGGTGCAGCTCTATCATCAAGACCCGGGTTTAGTTTTGGAAAAAAAAAAAAAAGCTTTTTAAAATTTTTTTTTTTAAATGAGTGTTCGAGTGTCTGAAAATGTCAAGACTTTGACACGCTATTTGCTGAGGAAACTCACTGCATTCTGCCTCCAAAGCTGAGAAAATAGATGTCACGAGCAAATAAATAAGGCTCCAGCAGAAATATCCCATCAGGTGAAATGATATGTGCCCACCCCCAAACTCATTCCACCCGGAAATCTTCAAAATCTAAAAATCCCAAGGATTTTTAGTCCTTCATAGATTTCAACACATCTCATCTTCTTTCCCCCCCCAGATTCTACCCAATCGACTCTAAGTCACACACCTGCTTCTCCACTGGGCAGCACCAGCTGGATTTCAGGACTGCGTGATTTCAAGAGCTGGATGTTAAT